CGGCGCCGTCGCCCCCGTGGGCTCCACCGGCGCGCCCTGCGCCGTCGCGCAGCGCGAGCTCGCCGCCATCCTGCGCGAGCTGCAGTTCATCACGGGCCGCATGCGCAAGGCGGACGAGGAGGCCGAGCTCATCAGCGACTGGAAGTTCGCCGCCATGGTGGTGGACCGCTTCTGCCTCATCATCTTCACCATGTTCACCATCATCGCGACCGTGGCCGTGCTGCTCTCCGCGCCGCACATCATCGTGCAGTAGTGCCGATGCTCCGGAAGCTCCCGAACGATCTTGAGGCAATTGGCGGCGGGCCGCGCTCGCGGTACGCGTGCCCGGGAAGAAGGCGGGATCTGCACATGGGTGGCTTTCTGAGAACGGCTCACGGGAAGTTGATGCGGTTTGCCTTTCAGGGTGTAGAATATTACGCGCGGATGCCCTCACTCCTCGCGACTTAGTGCGATTATTATTGGAATGAGCTTACTTCTGGATTCGGAAAGTTGTTTGATCCCGTAAGATCGTATGGCAGTTATCGGATATCTTCCCAATCAAATCAATTACTCCGGGCATTTTTCAATTACTCCTGGTCCAAACTCCACGATCACATCGAGACCAACAAACTCACGAGTGTCGATGACGCATTGACCAGCAGCTGCTGCCTTCCTTTCGAGCACGTCAGCTTCTTCGCGACATGTCGCCCGCTGCGCTCTTTTATTCTCTTTCACAAATACGGACTGTCGCACAATTCTCGTTATCTCGTAGCTCTCGATAGCTCGCTTCCCATCCCCTCCTTCTTCCGCCCGAATCGCCCGCAGTTGGGCCCGTGGCCAACACGCGGCGCTCTCCCTTCCCATTGCATCCCGCCCTCCTCGCCCTCGTCCTCGTCCGATCCGAATCCCCGCCCTCGTTCAGTGACGACGGACAGCCGCAGCAGCAACGCGTTGGTCGTTTTCTGTGATATTCCCCGCTCGCCCCCGGCGCCGACCTCGCGCGCGGCGCCCTCCCGCTTGCTTGTCTCAGTACGTAACGTTCGCTCTAGATGAATAAATTCTCGTTTGTAAACACGAGCTGCCCCCAAACCCCCACATCAAGGAATTGAACCGCGACCCACAGTGGCGCGGTAGCCCAGACACTCAAGAGGCCGTAGATAGAGTAGAGACAGAAAAAAAAATACAGACGCTCTCGCGGAGTCCTCGGCCGGAGCAAGGGAACGGAGCGGCGCGCGGCGAAGCGCGATGCAGTAGCAACGAGCTCCTCTCTCGACGGGCGGCCCTAGGCGCCCGGCGCCTCGTCAGCAAAAGTGTGCATGAAGCTGCGAACGGACTCCGTAAACACTCGACTGAGTGTCCACGCAGACACCAGTCGAAAAATAATTATTATTTGTAAGAAAAAAAATATGTTGTAAGTGAAAACGTTGTTGTGTGGTTTGTGGAAAGTTTTGATATCTCTGTAACATATTGAAGAATCCCCTGTATATTGGAATATATACATATTAATGAATATAGATATTAGTGGGAATCGAACAGCACAAAAATATGAGATTTTAAGGACGAGGGTGGACGTGAGTGCTCCCACCGGTGAGGCTTCCTCTTAAAGCAGGTCCGGCGAGCGGCAGCGCAGCGCAGCGCAGCGCGCGCAAGGGGCGCGGGGGCGGCGGCGGCGCCCTGGCGGTGCGACCGCGGGGGTGGAGCCGCCGGCGGCCGGGGC